TTCGTTTACTTACGTTTACTCATTTATTTGTTTATGGGTTAGTATTATGCCGCTCCCTCTCCCTCTCCCTCCCCCCCTCTCTCTGACTCTCTCTTTCTCTCTCTCTCTCACTCTCCCTCTCTCTCTCTCTCTCTCTCCTCTCTCTCTCTCTCTCTCTCTCTTCTCTCTCTCTCCTCTCTCTCTCTCTCTCTCTCTCTCTCTCTCTCTCTTTGTTCCTTTGTGGCACACATGTAAGGGTATGATAGTGTGTATGTCCACTGTACTAATCCACTTACATACGCACACATACCACACACACTGATAAATTCTACAATTTCTCTCTCTGTCCTGCCATTCCCATCTAGAAAATACACTTTCCATACCATATCTCTCTTTCATACCATATCTCTTGGTTCTTCAACAGAGTCATGCCCGTCGGTGTTGGTATCATTAGGAGACTGAACCAGGACACTGTGCTTGGGGGTTACCTGGTACCTAAAGGGGTAAGCGGAATTGTTATGATGATGAGGTATGAGATGAGAATGACAGAAATGATAATGATCTCTCATTTTGCCTCCTTTGCCTCACCATTTCTCTCCATTCTCCTTTCATTTGCTTCGACACCCGTCTCCTCTTCTCTCTCTCTCTTCACCCTTCCCCTCGACTTTCCATCTACACCCCTCTCTTCTTCTCTTTCTCTTCAGCCCTTTCTTCTTCTCTCTATCTTCGCCCCTCTCCTCTCCTTTCCCTCTACACCTCCTCTATTCCCCTTTCTCCTTTTCTTCCCTCCCTTACATCCCTACCTCTCTCCCCTCTTCTCCCCTTTCCCTCTTCATCTCTCCTCTCCTCTCTCCTTCCTTCCCTGCCTTTTCTCTCTTACCTCCCTGCCTCTCCTCACCTTTCCCACTTCACCTCTCTCCTCTCCTCTCCTCTCTCCCCCCTTCCCTCCATTTCCTCAATACCTCTCTCCTCTCTCCTCCCCTTTCCCTTTTCACCTCTCTACTCTCCTCTCCTCTCCCCTTCCTACCCTCCCTTTCCTCACTACCTCTCTCCCCTCTCCTCCCCTTTCCCTCTTCACCTCTCTCCTCTCCTCTCTTCTCCTCTCCCTTCCCTCCCTTTCCTCACTACCTCTCTCCCTCTCTCCTCAGTGGCAGGTCGTGGCTCCAACGATGCTTATCAACCACCAGGACTCCATCTTCCCGAGGGCGAAGGAATTCCTGCCGGAGAGGTTCCTTCGGGGGTCTCCTCTCGCGCCCACGCACCCCTACGCCTTCCTGCCGTTCTCCTTCGGCACCAGGATGTGCATCGGCAGGAGGGTCGCCTACCAGGAGATCATGTGCTTGCTCATAAGGGTGGGTTTCCTAGGGCTTAACATTATCATTACACTGTCATTAGTATTATTATCATTATTATCATTATTATTATTATCATTATCATTATTATAAATATTATCCTTATTGTTGCCATTATTGTCATTATTACCATTGTTATTATCATGATTATTATCATTATCATTATTATTATTATTATTACTATTATCATTGTTATTATGATCATTATTAATACTATTATTGCTGTTATTGTTATTATCATCATAATCATTATTGTTACTACTGTTGTTATTATTATCATCATTATTGTAATTGACATTATCATTGTTATTATTATTATATTTGTTATCATTATTGTTATCATTATTATTACCATTATTTTTATTATTCTTATTATTATCATTATTATCATTCTTACTAGTATTACTGTTATCATTATCATTATCATTATTATTATTGTTATTACATCATCATTGTTATTATTACTATCATTTTCATCAATATTATCATCATTATTATTATCATTACCGAAATTATCATTATTATAACTATTGCTATTGCTGTTATTATTATCATCATCATAATTATTAATGCTACTATTCTTTTCACTTTCATTATATCTATTATTATCATCATCGTCGTCATATATCATCATTATAAATAATTATGGTCATTATCATTATCATTATTTTTATTATTATTATCACTATTATTGTCATTATCATTATTATCATCACCATTATCATTGTTATCATTATCGTCTTCATCATCATCATTATTAGATTTTTTGTAAATATTGTGGGATATGAACTGATTAGTGTTGGTGCCTGAGAGAGTGTGCATTTGAATATGTATGTGCGTGTCCGTTTGCATGTGTTTATGTGTCTGTGTATGCATGTGTGTGAATATTATATTCCTTAATTCACATAACCCTATTTCAACATTGTTTATGTCTTTCGGTAGATTCTGAATGAATTCACCGTGGATTACAAACATGAGGACATGCATCTTGTCAACAAGCTGGGTTACGGGCCTTCGCACCCTCTGAGGTTTACGTTCAGTGACAGAAACTGAACCGGTGTGCAGGTGCCATTGTGGAAGTGTGTGTGTGTGTGTGTAAGAGAGAGAGAGAGAGAGAGAGAGAGAGAGAGAGAGAGAGAGAGAGAGAGAGAGAGAGAGAGAGAGAGAGAGAGAGAGAGAGAGAGAGAGAGAGACAGAGACAGAGAGAGAGAGGGGGGGAGGGGGGAGAGAGAGAAGGGGCGGGAGAGAGAGAGAGAGAGAGGGAGAGAAGTGTGTGATAGAGAGAGAGTGTGTATCTGTGTGTGAGTGAGAAATATAGAAGAGAAAGAAAGAGAAGGTACCTTCCCTGTTATATTTTAATGGTAAAAGATACTTTTAGTTATATTTATCAAATAAATGGTTAAATGGATAGAAACGGTCTTTCATTGACACGCTTTACACATGACTGGCCCGGAACAGTCATATTCTGTGACTAAAATATGAAACTTGAGATTAACTTCCATTAAAGTAATGGTCGAAGAGGACCACAGAATGTTGCCTTTACCATCAAGGAACTGCGAGAAATGGTCTTTATCTCGTTCTCTCTCTTTCTCCCTATCCTTCCACCTCTGTTTCTTTCCCTCACCCCCCCTCTCTCTCTCTCTCCTCTCTCTCTCTCTCTCTCTCTCTCTCTCTCTCTCTCTCTCTCTCTCTCTCTCTCTCTCTCTCTCTCTCTCTCTCTCCTCTCTCTCTCACAATTGAATGAATGTTTTTTTTTTTCGTTATAAATATGTAGATGGGGAGCTCTAGGCAAAGGGCATGCTACACACAGCCAGGAGAGGGGATACAGGGGGAAGAGAGGAGCGAAGAGGGAAAGGAGAGGAGAGCGACGAAAAGAAAAAGGAGAGAAGAGAGGGGAAGAGAGAAAGGAGAGGAGAGGGGCGATGAGAAAAATGAGAGGTGAGCGAAAAAAGAAAGGAGAGACGGATAAAGAGAGAAAGGTGTTATACACTTTCGTTATCCTATCGTCCATTACCCCTTCTGCTCCGCAATTTCTATTTTTTTTTTTTTTTTTTTTTTTTTTTATAAAACGTGGCTAGGCTAATTCTGTATACCCCATCACTGTTTCGAAATGAGTCCGTAATAACCAGACTTTATTTTACTATAACAAACAATATAGTGCGTGAAAATGAATGGAAACAAGTATGCATACATTATTCTATAATAAACAGCTTGGAATATTGAATTATTCATTAGACTGAATAAATCATACAGTATATCTACACGAGTAAGTACAAGAATTTCAAGTAAAAAGGCACCAAACACAACACGCGACACACCAAACCCAGCACAGTCCAGTATATTAAACAGCATAACGCATCAACCTTAACAGAAAAAACACAGCACGCCAAACACAACACAGGCGAATCCTAAATCCTAATCCTCACTCCCGTATTATGCCTGGGCACCGACCCTCTCTCTTGGTCCAGAGGAGAAGCTTCCTTTTTTCGAGGTCGAGGAGGAGCTTCTTCCCCCGTACAAGAAGGGCGTGTTGGTGCATTCCTGAACAAAAGTTATAATCCTTTTTGCTGTGAGCAGTGGAAAAAAGGGCCAATACACTTACGAGGTTGATATACAAGCTGTATTGTTTGCGATGCTTTTTGGAAAACATAAATTCTATGATATATTACATGCGTTTTTCTGTTTCTTTCTCTTAGCAAAGTAATATAATATACTTGGGTATGTTTATGTATGTCGTTATTGTTGCATTAAATGCGTTATTGATTGTAATAAAGATGTTTTTTCCATAACCTTTGGCGTATCATTATATAATTAAACGAGATGGGAAGATAAAGATAAGAGTGAGGAAGGGAAGACAGAGAGAGAGAGAGAGAGAGAGAGAGAGAGAGAGAGAGAGAGAGAGAGAGAGAGAGAGAGAGAGAGAGAGAGAGAGAGAGAGAGAGAGAGAGAGAGAGAGAGAGAGAGAGAGAGAATTAACGCACAGAGAGCGACTTTTATGCCTTCCATGAAAGTCATTAGCACATGTCAAGGTCATTAAAAAAGAACAGATTACGTGTTTTTCTTACTTTCCTAGTTTTGCTAATCTTTTTGACGTAGCCGAAATAAATCCACAATTAATTCGTTCTTTCGAAAAAAATTGAAAAATAAGAGCATATTACTTTCGATTATTTTATTTTACTTGATATTCGATTTATAATGATTTTGAAAATATTTTGATATGTATAATGTCAGAATGGAAATGGGTTTTAATAGCAAAAGAATTGATGAATTGATGACAATGAGGGTTGTTAAGGAGTGTAACAATGAAATGATAATAGTATCTAGATTAGCGATAATTATAGTAATAAGAAAAAAAATAATGCGAACGCTTCCCAGAAATTTCCAGAAGAAATGAAAAGGAAATTGCTCCTAAAGACTCAACTAATCTAATCACAGTAAGAGGTATTTAAATCATCATCTTATTATTTGGTTACCGAATTTTATTTATGAAAACCTCTGACAAGCGGTCTCAAAAAAGAAAAAAATAATAATTGGGTGTTTTAACCTTTATTGGTTTCTGGAAACATGTGACAAAACTACATCACTTCTGGATCCAGTATTGTTCATATGCCCGCGGACAGAAATGATCTTTGACAGAACCGGTGACACTTTGTGCTCTGGGCAAATAGCAGATCCCATCGATTGTGGAGGTTTCTGTAGGTATAACTGACTAGAAAAGCAGAACAGGAGGCATATCAGGCTTGAGACAACAGCAGATATGTGGTGCTCACGGGGAAGGTACTGAACTAGAGAAACAGAGCAGGGTAAATATAAAAAAACGATATAACTTTACAAGTTTTAAGAGGGGATCAATTTGGGGATTTATTTCTGTTTTTGGTTTCTAGGTCCTTTGAGGAGAAACCTCAACCAATGGCCAATATATTCTGCGTTGTTCCTATGTACAGAAAAATGTATATATTAATATTTTATAACTATTACCTGCTCTGTTTTTCTTTCCTCTATTCAGTACCTTCCCAGACACAAATCTGGCTGTTGTCTGTTGCTCATATCCTTGTTCTGCATTGTTTTAGTCAGTTATACCACAGATAACCCCACAATAATCGAGATGAAGACTCTTGGCTATATTGAGTATACCACGAGCACAGTGTCACCTGGTGGAGCAGGTTCATGGTATCAGAGAACTCAACTTATTCCCTGGGTTCCGCCAGGAGGCCATATATGATAACAATAACTGGGATGCCAGAAGCAGATGTAGTTTGGTGGTCACATTTTCCAGAGAACCAAATAAGGGTAAAACACCTTCAATTTATTCTATTTTTTTTCTTCTTTTAGGAGACCAAGGCTTGTCAGGAGGTTATCCATATAAATAGAAATATCGGTAAACCCAATAATAAAAGGATGATGATATACTAGTAAATTAACAAATCTCTTACTGTGACCTATTAAGATTAGTGAAGTTCCTCTTTAGGAGCATATTTCCTCTTTCATTTTTCTTGGAAATTTTCTGAGAAGACAGTCTCGTCATTTTGATTTAGTTATTGTGTTCTATTACTAAAACATTAACGAACCATATCGATTCAAAGGAATACGTATTAGCAAATTTCATTGACATCACAATGGCCCCTTATATACACACACCTGATCCATGGGTCTATCCAATAACATATTCAGATCAATTATCTTTTGCTAATTAAAAACTCCGCGATTTTCGCCAAAATTCTGTACTGATTATACAACAAATAACTTTTTCAAAATCATAATAATTCGAATAATTCCATAAGTAAAAAGTAACAAAAGCGCGAAGTAAAAGTGCTCTATTTTTCAAAGATTGCTCATTATTTCTTGAGAATTGAGAACGAATAATGGTGGATTTTTATTCGCTTAACTGTCCAAAATAGAATTAGTCAAACTAGGAAAGTCAAGAAAACACACGCTAATCAATGCTGTTTTTAGATGCACCTTGACACTGTGCCAACGTTAGTACAGAATCTTTTTCATGGAAGCTGACGGATGCACAAAGTACTGCTACTCCAGGTACGTATGAATGTTCTCCTATCCTCTCCTGATCTGAGTCACTACTTCTTTCTCTAGCAAGTCATGTCGTCTCCTCCGCTTCAATGGCCTCATCGTGAATCTGCTCTACTCTGCAGGAACGTTGCTGATTACACGTCATTCTCGTTCTCTTCCAGAACTGATGAAGTTTGAAAGATATGGATTTAAGGCATGGCACAGAAACTGCTCTCCCGGACTGTACCTGCATGAACTGATATTTCAAGCCAAAGACCTAATCTACAGACCTCACCTCTTGCACCTTCAGATGTATTTCGAGTCATGTCCACGTCACCGGGAAGCGAATGGGACGAGGTTATTAATTTTTGTTACATCTGCATTAATTTATTTTAAAGATGGTTCGCTATGTTGAACGTCGGCGCTAAAGAAAAAAAGAAAAAAAAAGTTTTGATTCTGATGTGAATAAAAATACTTTGTAAAATCAACTTTATGTTACCGCCGATAGTTCAACATAGCTAACATCTAGATAAAACACACTCACACTCGCCACGCACACCATGGTACGTCCTCTCTCCATGCATGCCACCACACATCCACACAACATCCACTCTACTACATCACACCTACCTACCACATCCACACACACACACACCACACACTCACTCTCTCCTCCACATCCACCTACACACACGCATTGTGTATGTGTGCCGTGCTTGTTTGCTTGTCTTTATAATATACATATATCTATCATCAATATATATATATTTATCATTATACTTCTTCTCTTATACCTCTATATATATATATATATTATATATACTCTATGTCTCATTATACTGTCTTCGCCCATACTATTCTATACACTACTTTATCAATTTTATCTTCCCAATCTCAGTTTAATTATATAATGATTACGTCAAATAGTGATTATATTGAGATAAAAAACATTATACTATTTTATTAATATCATTCAATAATACGCTATATTAATGCTAAACATAAATCATATGACATAACACTATACATACCATCACAAGTATATTTTAAATTACTTATGCTTAAGAGAAAAGAAAAATCAGAAAAACGACTAGTTAATTAATATTCATAGTAATTTATGATTTTTCCTAAATATAGCATTCAGTATACAACATATAATACT